TATTGACTTCTGGGGTCTCCTACGTATATCCAATAGCACTACATAACGTTTCCCTATAATTGATTCAAATTGTTCCTTCCATTTCTTCAAGCACCTAAAAATAGGGTCTCCCCATAAATACAGAAAACAAATGGATGGTTGCAAGCAAGGAGGCAGGTGGGAGAATGGACAAAATGAGTGAAGGGGAGTGGGAGGTACAGACTTCCAGCGATGGAATGAGTAAGTCAAGGGAAAGAAGGAACAGCATAAGAAATGTAATGGATGGTATTGTAAGAGTGCTGTATGGTGGTAGATGGTAGCTCCTCTTGTGCAATATGTAATGCATGAACGTGTCAAACCACTTTATTGCACACCTGAAACTAATGTAGCATTTTGCCTCAAATATACTTCAACAGGAAAAAATAAAAAAGGTCTCCTATGCCTACCATAACACTTGATATTAAGTAGGTTGCTCTAAAGATTCATGGAATCAATTAGATGTGATGTGAATCAATTTATGCTTTGATACTTCAATGAAGATTTATGCTTTAGCAGAGGAAATGAAGCTAAAAAGCTAGAAAAATTTGAGAATATTGTAATTAATATCAGTAGGGGTGAAAGTAGAACTTGAATTTATCATTAAAGGGTTTTTATTTTTTCTTAAACGCAAATAAGTTTTCATATTCTTTTGATAAGTTTTTATTTAAATTAGGTAAGAATTCTAGTTCATCAGTGATTTTGTTCTCTCTCCCTGGTATATTATTACTGTGATTTGCTTTTGCTGCACTTCTTTTCAAGCTACAATTGAGTTAGAATCTCCCATCTCAAAAAAAAAAAATTAAGATGCATTCATGCAAACTCATAATACCTCAGATCTCACACTTTATCTTTTCTCTTTATAGCTGGCTTCTTGAAAAGAGAGAAAATTTTTAAAAAAGAAAGTGACAAAGTATTTTCCTGTTTAACTATGGTCCTTTCAAACACCTGCTATTAACAATTACCAATAATCTATTTTTCTCCTTACTGCTAAAACAACAAATTGTTTTAAACCTTCCATTTACTTGAACTTTCTGCAGTATTTATTGCTTATTATTTTTTAAATTCACTATTTATTACCATTGACTTTTCTGTCTTGCAGGAGAGTATCGTTTCATGGCTTCCTTAATGTCTCTCCTGTTCCACTTCTACTGCTGTCTATCATTCATTCTTAGTACTTTTATTGAAATCTCTCAGTTATCCCCCCCCCACCTCACTTGGTATATTGCCTAAGATTCTCTCCTTCGTACTTTATTCCTTTGGGCTTTTCGTCATTTCATTTTCCTTTCTCATCCTCAGTGATGTTGCTCATCCTCAGAAAGTTTAATTCCTACCAAAATGTTGACAATTCTTACATACAAATGGAGCTTGGGATCCTTACTTGATACCTTCCATGCAGCATATACAAGGGTCTTTGGGCAACTCCAACTGTATGTTCCTTCTCTTCCAGGCATCTCAAACTCAAATTGGATTCAACATCATTCCTATTCCTCCTGTAGCTTCTATCTTAGTTATCAGCACCACTTACATAACATCCGATGGGACTTAGTCAAACTATGCTCTTTCTTTCCTTGTCTTCTCACTCATAACCAGTCACCAAGTCTTTAAACTCTACCTCCTCAGCTTCTGATTCCTCCTCCTCATTTTCATGCTACTTCAATTCAAACTCCTCTAATCTTATGCTTAGACTAGTGCAAAATACCTACCTATGAGCTCATCGAGTTTCCTACTCCTTCAATTCATCTTCCTCATTGCAGCCAAGGCAGTCTTCTAAGAACACAAAACTCATTATGTTACTCCCTGTTTAAATCTTTCCATGAGCTCATTTTACAGACATAGAATCAAAATTCCTGAGTATGATATAATAGGCCCTTTATAACTTTCCATACTGCTTGTATTGCTTATTGTTCTCCAAAAACACAAAGTTACTTAAGACCTCCAAAACTTTTCTCTCATGTATCTGTCTGATTATAGCAGCCCAGGCCTTTAAACCCTCCCATTTTTGCTTTCATATAATGTGGAACCTCTTCAAGTCAACTCAACTCCATGGCCATTTCCTCCTTCAAACCTTGCCCAATCTCCTCTACCCCTACCAGATAGAAGTGACCAGGCTCTCCATTGTATCATGTATATACTTTCATCGTGGCACCTTATCATACTTACTGCATAGCTAAGAGTTTTACTAGACTTTTAAGTTTCCTTATAAACAGGCATCATATCATATTTGGCATTATACCTGTAGTACTTTGCAATACACCTGGCATAACATGAACCTGAGCATGACCTGAACATGAACTTTCTTTGGAAAGACGGTATGAGGACATTGTCTTTCACTTTTCCTTTTTATCTTTTTAATTGTTTAGCATTTTTAAGAATGAACATAACTTTTATATTGAAAAATGAAAATCAAAAAATAAATGAGTAAACATAATTTATCTTTATTAATTCTAAAGAAAAAAATTTAACTTTCCATTCATAATGATGCCACAATATTATGTTGAATTTAAATCTTCTGCATTGCCAAAATAATCTTGGAACAATTTTTGTTCTGTTACTTTTAAAAGAAAAATTATATCAAATCATTTTTCTAAGACATAACTAAACTTCTGTAGGGACATTCCTCTACATATTTGCATTATAACAAGATGAAAACAAGATATCATATGTGTAGGGTAAGATAACTGTTTACAGAAGTTTGCCTTCAAGGCACTTTGTAACCTCTACTCCTACTGTTTCAGTTTTCACTTCTATGGAAAGATTGCCAGATGTTTCTCGATAAGGTTTCATCCTGCCCCACCTAACTCTCACCCTTGAGTTCAGTAGAACTTATTTGTACACTCTGTTCCTGATTATGCTGATCACCAATCCCTGTGAGAGTTCCTGGCTCTAGTCAAAGGTGAAAAATGAAGTTATACACAAGCCACTTAAAACCACAGCCCTATATGTTTATAAAAAATAAATTAAAAAAGAAAAAAACCCCACAGCCCTGAGAGCTGATTCTTCACAGGATTTGTTGGAGGAAAATATAACGTATCTTATTACACATATCCGGTGGCCACAGAAACTGACATCCCAATGTTGTCATTTGCTTCCCATCAAGGAGGCTGGAAGTCCCCACTATCTTCTTACAGCTTAGTAGAGGGTTTAGTAAAAAGAAAAAAAATAACGTCACATCAGGGGGTCTCAGGTGGTAATCACTCAGTGAATAGAAAGGGAATGGAAAGGTTTAACAGGGGAAAAGGAAGAAAACCTAAAAGCTATGTGATAAAGAAGTGGAAGAGAACAGTGAAAATGTGTGTGCCCAGATTTATAGAGGTAAAGGAAACCTGACTGTCAAAAGAGAAAGGACATACTAAGATACAGTCACTGAGTGAGACTCACTCTGATGTCAACTGACACAAAAATGTTAAACAGAACACTTGGGAATTCTCAAGGAATTCTATATTGAAAGAAAATGCACATTTCTGGTGTGTCTGCAATATGCCAAGATCTTTACATAACTTATCCACCTTATACCCCAACCACCTTATAAGAGAAGTGTTTGAATTAAATTATAAAATACTTAATTTGTTATATTTAGCTTCCAACTTATACTTTCATTTCCAATAATTCACCTTCTGACATAGTAATAAAAATATTTTTTTTCAGTCCCTACAAGACAGAATTCACATACATAGAGAAGGATCTTTTTCCTTGGGCAACTCAGCCAATGTAACACAGAAATGTGACTTGAGTTCTAGTGGAAAGACCTCACAGTAGAACACAAACAGGACTAGGATTTAAAAGCAGGTGTGCTGCTTACAAACTGTGATATTGGGGATGCCTGGGTGGCTCAGTGGGTTAAGCATCTGCCTTCAGCACAGGTCGTGATCCCAGGGTCCTGGGATCAAGACCCACATCAGGCTGCCTGCTCAGTGGGGATCTAGCTTCTTCCTCTGCCTGCTGCTCCCCCTATTTGTGCTCTCTCTCTCTCTCTCTGACAAATAAATAAATAAAATCTAAAAAAAACAACAACAACAACAAAAAACTGTGATATTGGACAAATTAAGTATTCTGGGTTCTCAGTTTCTTCATTGATAAAATGTTTCTGACAGTAAACATGTATATAGTGAGTATTATGTGCCTAGAATTATTTGAAGCACTTGTATATATAAAGCATCTCTCTTATAAGATGGTTGGAGTATAAGGTTAATAAGTTCTGTTTTATGTATATATATATATATATATATATATATATATATATATATATATACTGAGTTGCCCAGGAAATAAGATCCTTCTCTATGTATGGGAGTTCTCTCTTCCATGGACTGAAAAATAATAAAAGGGAATGAGATGGGATATAATTGCATCTGAGTCCACTATTTAATCAGCAAATAACAGAATTTTAGAGCTAAAGGACCTTAGAAGACATTTACTTTAATCCCCTCTCATTTCACAGATGATAAAACCCAATATGATTGTCCAAACGCCTCACAACTTCAAGATGCACAATTATGACAGCAGAACACCAGGGTTGGTGTGTCTGCTTGGAAACCTCCCTCTAAAGCATGAGCTCAAAACTAGCAAAAAGATAGCCTTTATAAATCCAAGTTTCCAGATCAAATCACAGATGGCAAACAAAGCAGCATTGGATCTGACCTTCACAGGAATCCAGGAAGAGACAGAAACAGTGCTTGAATTCTACATACAATCTCACTTTTGTACACTATACCGACTTGTTAAAAACAATGCACCCTTGACTGCAAACCACTGTGCCAACAACATAATCATAGAAAAACAAAGATCTGTGCATCTACTAGAGTTTAATTTTCCGGATGTTTGTATACATGGCACACAAATTATAGAAAATGCACAGTTATTACACATAAGTGTAAGTCATGAAAACACTTTCTCCTTCCCTCACTTTGCACATTCCTCAGAGACATAGTTCATCTCACGTACTGCTCAAGAGTGACCAGTTTGGACAGCTGGAGACCGAGTACCTGTGTGCCCAGCCTCTGGCCGCTGGGTCGCAGAAGAGGCTCGAGATGACACACTCATGACGGTGTCCCTATCAAAGTCCAGCATGTCCCTCGTGCTGCTGTACTTGGCCTGCATCTGGACTCCTGCAGGGGTGAGGCTGAGCTGCAGTTTGATTGCCCCGAAGCTGTGTAGCTACTGGGAGACAGTGCAGGAGCTACGGTGCTGAAAGTCATTCCTAATGTTCTTCTCTCCCAGCGAGTAGCGGGGGAAGCCTCTGATTCCAGTTCCTGCTTGGACAGGCCCAGCCCTCTCCTGGGAACTTGTACTCTTAAGGCCAAGTTGGTCAGGCAGGGAGGAAATAGCATGTGTTTTCTATTTGGGCGGTCTCTGTCTGAACAATTATTGAAGGGTTGTCCTTCTCAGATCCCTTTTGTTCATTTATTTGTAATTCCTGTGTAAGTACAGTGTAAAAAAGGCAAACTATACGATCACACAGAGATTCCTTCAGGCTCTGCGGAGCAATAATCAGGCAAAGGAATACATATTATCCAGTCTCTTACATACCAGACACTCATAGTGTCACTTAAATGAGGTTTAACTTCTGAAAAGAGAAGAGATCATAGGACCAGCTTCTTTCTTTCTCCAAGGGCATAGTTTAAAGCATCATATCCATGAAATGTCAGCACAAAGTCTTTTTGAGATGCTCTATGGATTCTACATTTTCATTTTTACAAAAAAGGAGATGGAAGCCCAGTTAGATGAAGTGGTTGTTTTAAAGTCACATAATGTCTTAGTGACAGTATGAGCTTCAGAAGTGTTCTCCTGTTGAACTTCTCCAGGAACAAAGGAGCTGTCAGGTGCTGTTACCCTTCCCTGCCCCTCAGCATAAACAGCAACCAACTGCAGAAACCAATGTGGTGCCTAATTTGCCAACACACACACCCCTAGCCCCCAACACCACACTTCACACACACACTTCCACACACCTGCCCCTTCTAGTTATGTTTGCCTCATAACCGCAGGTGCCCTTACCCAGGAGACTGGCATAAACTGGGCCAACACCCAGTCTCCTACCCCCACACACTTTTCCGGACCCTGGGCCAGCTTTGGTAGTGAGCAGAAGACATGAACAGACATTTCTCCAAGGAAGACATTCAGATGGCCAACAGACACATGAAAAGATGCACAATCACTCTCATCATCATGGAAATGCACATCAAAACCATAGTGAGCTATCACCTCATACCTGTCAGAATGGCTAAAATCCAAAAATCAAGAAACAGCAAGTGTTGACAAGGATGTGGAAAAAAAGGAAACTTCTTATCCTGTTGGTGGGAATGCAATCAGTGCAGCCACTGTATCCATTGATAGATGAACGGAGATACATATGTCATATATATATATATATATATATATATATATATATATATATGAATATTATTCAGCCATTAAAAAAGAATGAGATCGCGCCAGTTGCAATGACTTAGGTTAAGCTAGAGAGTATAATACTAAGTGAAATAAGCCAGACAGAAAAAGACAAATACCATATGATTTCATTCATATTTGGAATTTAAGGGAAAAAACAATGATCAGAGGAAAAAAGAGATAAACCAGAAAGAGATTCTTAACTACAGAGAATAAACAAATGGTTACCAGAGGGGAGGTGGGGTGACAGGTGAAGGGGATTAAGAGTACACTTATCTGATGAGCACTGAGTAATGTATGGAAGTGTAGAAGCACTGTATTGTACGCCCAAAACTAATGAGACAATGTATGTTAACTACAATGAATCTTTTTTTTTTTGAAGATAGGAATCCGTTTATTTTTTTTATAAACATATAATATATTTTTAACACAATCTTTTTTTAAAGTGTTCTCCTATTGTCAATTCAATGATCTTTCTTCTTATAGTATATGAACTCAATTTAATATTTTGTAGACCATGGTCATGAACAAATTACACATTTTTTAAATTTTTTAATTATTTTATTTATTTGAGAGAGAGAGAGCATGAGAGGAGAGAGGTCAGCAGGAGAAGCAGACTCCTTGCTGAGCAGGGATCCTGGTGTGGGACTCGATCCCAGGACTCCAAGATCACGACCTGAGCCGAAGGCAGTTGCTGAACTAACTGAGCCACCCAGGTGCCCCAATAATTACACATTTAGCGGGAAGTCAGGACTTTTAGAATTATTGCTAACTATATGTGACTTTACATGTGACTCCAGGAAGGCAGGTAATAATTTTTACCTAAATTTCCTAAGCTGAGAAGGAAATGAAAAGACTGTTTTAGATAATGTCCAAAAATCCTTCTTGAATCAATAAAATATAATTGTATTATTTCATCAACACTTTTCTATGTTTGGGTTATTAGCTTAGCTAAATCAAGCATACCAAATAATAAAAAGAAATGGAGAAGATGCTTGGGAGGGGACAGGCAGGCCCTAGGAGGGAGGGATTGGGAAGCACATATTGTTGATTTATTATATGTCTCAAACTATGTATTGTTTATCAGGTCATTCTAAATAAAACAAACCCAAAGAGACCTTTCTCTTGCATCAGGCCTTGTAAAAAGTAGAATAAAAAATTATCTGGTCACTCGCATTGGATTGATGTATTAGAAAATGCTACAGGAGGGGCGCCTGGGTGGTTCAGTGGGTTAAGCCTCTGCTTTTGGCTCAGGTCATGATTTCAGGGTCCTGGGATTGAGCCCCGCATCAGACTCTCTGCTCAGCAGGGAGTCTGCTACCCCCCCACCCCCGTCCCCTTCCTGCCTCTCTGCCTACTTATGATCTCTCTTTCTGTCAAATAAATAAATAAAATCTTAAAAAAAAAAAAAAGAAAAAATGTTACAGGAGATAGGCAGTAAAAAAACTTGAAGGAAGAGGTAAGTGAAACACATAAGAGAAAGGAGAGGGAAGGTCAAATATCAGAAATTGCAACAGCTGGGGACTGAAAGAATACATTTAGAGGGTGCTGATGATGATGAGTCTCATAAAGCAATTAAAACTATTCTGCAAACTTCATTGACTCAAGTAGATCCTTGATGCTTTTCACCAAATAACTTACACTAACATTTTTTCCTACTTGTCCTTAAACACTTATTTTTTCAACAATGACAAAAATATCTTTTGACAAAACACCTAATTTATTTCAGGTGCTATTCTCAGATTCTAAGATGCATCAGTATAAAACAAAACTTTCTGTCTTTTAGAACCTATGTTTTATGGAAGAAGCCAGATAACATGAAAGATAGCAAGTGAATAATAGAGCATATGAGAGTGTAATAAGACGTATGAAAATATGTGGAAGGTATGGGAGATTAAGAATATACAAAAAGGAGGGGCACCTGGGTGGCTCAGTATTTGGGTGACGGACTCTTGATTTAGACTTTGGTCATGATCACACAGTTGTAAGATTGAGCCCTGCATCAGACTCTATACTCACTGGGAAGTCTGCTTGAGATTCTCTCTCCCTCTGCCCCCAGTCTCTAAAATAAATAAATAAATTTTAAAAGTAAAGAAAAAGAATATACAAAAAGGAAGGTTGGTAATTTTATTTTATTTATTTATTTTTTAAGATTTTATTTATTTATTTGACAGACAGAGATCACAAGTAGGCAGAGAGGCAGACAGAGAGAGAGGAGGAAGCAGGCTCCCCACAGAGCAGAGAGCCCGATGTGGGGCTCGATCCCAGGACCCCAGGATCATGACCTGAGTTGAAGGCAGAGGCTTTAACCCACTGAGTCACCCAGGTGCCCCATGGGTTGGTAATTTTAAATATGGCAGTCAGACTCAGCCTCATTAAGAAAATGCTATATGTGCAGAGACTTTAAAGAAGTGCAGGAACAGGTCCTGCAGTATCTAGGGTAAGAATCATTCAGGTGAAGAGAACAGAAAGCTCAAAGGCCCTGAGGTGGAAGCATGCAGGTCATTACGAAACAAGAGAGAAACCAGATGGAATGAATGAAGAGGACGAAAGTAGATTAGGTCAAAGGAGTAAAGTGGCCCACGGACAACTGAAAAGGCTTCTTCCTTTTCATTTCGATTTATCTATATTTGGTTTTACTCAGAGGTACATGGGAAGTCAAGGGGATTTTGAGTAGGGGGCTGAGATGATTTGTTTTAAATTTAAAAGAATCACTCCACTATGTTTGAAAAAGGAGCTTAAGAGGACAAAGGTGGACACTGGGAGATTACTTTGAAAATTACTGCAATACTTCAGGCCAGAGAAGATGGTGGTCCTCCAGTAAGTGTTTCCTGTAGCATGATCGTTACTCAGCCTTTTACCTTTTTACCCTTTAGACAGAAGTTCAGCCAGTAACTATTTTCCCTTTTCTGTCTCGTGGAAAAATGGATGTTTCCTGTTCATTCCCATGTACATGGCCATGTGAACTGTGGTATAAACATGTATTAACAAGTCAGGTATAATCTAGACAATCTAGAGCATCTTACTTTATACCATCATTTTGTAATAGTCACACTTTTATCTTTAAATCATAAATATTTTAAAAACAAATATTGTTGTCTGTTCTAAGTACAGCTGGAAATTCCTCATCCAGAATTATTTTTGATCATTATGACTTCTCAAATCATTCACGCCATCCTAAGGACCCAGGAGGAACTGATCAAACCAAAAACAAAATTAAAAGACATGATATCTCTTCAAAATCTCACCTGGTACCTTAATTTAACTCTCAAATTATCTTTGCCTTTTCCACATGTCTTTTCATATGGTGACAATACAAGTGTGTATATTAAAAAGCATTAGGATTCTTCATAAAAAATGTTTATATCTTCTTCTTTTCAATTTTTAAATATTTAAGATCCCAAATTTATTCTTCAACATAAAACTACTACTATACTACTTCTTCCCAAGTGCCAAGTTCACCAATGTTTTCTTATGGGGAGAGGGCATGTTGCCATAATGTTTACTACACACAACATTTGGATGTCAAAGTTTCTTTGATTATCATTTCTTTATTACAGTTAAATTCACATAACAACTTGATGTAATTTTTGTTCACATGTAAATAACCATAGGAAGGATGTAACTCCTTCTCCAATAATATGAAAGTCACCTTTGGAAATAAAAACAGGACCAGGCAGAAAATTTAAGAGAAAATAAGAAAAAGACAAATTGTCATATAAGGAAACATGTTCAAATAATACCCTTTAATGGTAATTACTGAAAAATTGATAAAAACTGCAAAACAGTAATCATAAAAACTAGTAAGACAGGTTTTGCCTTCCAGAATGTTAATACATCAGCCATAGGATTGTTTTGTTGTCTTTTTTTAGATATTATTTATTTATTTGGAGAGAGAGCACATGAGCAGTGAGAGGGGCAGAGAGAGAGGAAGAGAGAGAATCTCAAGGAGACTCCGAGCTGAATGTGGAGCTTGACATGGAGCTCAATCTCAGATCCTGAGATCACCACCCCAGCCGAAATGAAGAGTTGGATGCTCAACCAACTGAGCCACCCAGGCCCCCTGGATTATTGTTGTTGTTGTTTTTGTTCTATATTCTATATTCTACATTCTATATTCATTATCAGATCTTTTTTGATTGATAGTATTTACAAAGGAGAACACTTTTTTATAAGAGCAGTTACCATACTATTTCACAATATACAAGATCTTATTAGTCAGATATGTTGCTGTTTTCTTCATGATTTTTTTATCATAACCATATTGATGAACAAAATAATAAAATAGCTCTGATTGTAGTAAAGATTTTTTTCTCATTTCCTCATTTTGCTGTTCAGAAATACATTCTTCCTTCCACCTGTGTCAGATGCACTTATTGGACATGGAGAAACATGTCATGGAAACACAACATATGTATTCCAGGGGCACTTTTTTTTTTAAGATTTTATTTATTTATTTGACAGAGAGAGTTCACAAGTAGGCAGAGAGGCAGGTAGAGAGAGAGGAGGAAGCAGGCTCCCTGCTGAGCAGAGAGCCCAATGTGGGGCTCGATCCCAGGACCCTGAGATCATGACCTGAGTTGAAGGCAGAGGCTTTAAACCACTGAGTCACCCAGGCATCCAGCGGCACTTTTTAAGGACAAAAAGCAACCCTAGTATACCCAGAAATAATTATCTTCTTGAAACACCAAGGATTTATGACCAATTCCATGTTAATATTAAGTCAGAAGATGTAAGTTCAGCTGACCTGACTCCATTTTTAGGGCTCTATTAATTAGAACCTAATACTGATCTTCCAATTCATTTTGTAAGTGCAGAATTATAGCTTCTCCATTCTCATCTAAGATTAAAGTTGGCTGAGCTCTCTTGATATTTTCAGCCATTATTTTGACCTCAAATATCTCTTTTCTGTGTTGTTTTCTTCCCTTCTTATTATTTTACATACTTCCTTCTGGTCTTCCACAGTGTCACCCCAATCATTTTATTGACAACTTCTTCTCACAAATACTGTATGAGGGCACACTACAAAGTTGGTCATAAATTATTGACAGGTGAATCCATACACAGTTGTGAGATGAGCTTTCTTGGGTTTTTGTGCTTCTGATTTGAAACCTGTTAAAGTATAATAAAGCAATTAAAACAAATATAAGAAATACTGTCTACTATCTACACAATGCTGAAATAAATTAGCAAGGATATGGGCAAGGATTTTGGTGAAAAAAGTTCCTAAGTGGTTATGTTATCCGAAAAGGAAACTTGAACTTAGGTTGCATTAGTTCTCAAATGGGAACAGAAGAGCCTTTATTATTAAGGCATAAAAATGACTCAAACATTTGTTAAGAAAAATACTATTAGTTACATAAAATTAAATAAAGCTTCTGACAAATAAAAAAAAAATCATTTACTATTCTATAGATAGTTCTTTATCTTTCAACCTCTTAACTAGAAGTATATTTATCAAATAAAACAACAGGTTCATGAAATTATCTTCATGTATATTTAGTGAGTAGACCAAGCAGAAGAGTTATTATTGAGAAGAATTTAGAACTAAATGAAGAATCATAGGGGTGACTGGGTGGCTCAGTCTTTTTAAGTATCTGCTTTCAGCTCAGGTCATGATCCCAGGGTCGTGGGATTAAGTCCCACTTTGGGCTCCCTATTCAGTGGGGAAGTCTGTTTCTCCCTCTACCCACACCCCCGCTTGTGATCTCCCTCTATCATGCTCTCTTTCTCTCAAATAAATAAATAAAATCTTGGGAAAAAAATAAATGAAGAATCGTACATATCAAGGCCATTTAAAGACAGGGAAAACAGTATTATATATATATTTTTTCAGCATTATATATTTTAATGCATTCTGAAGATGGAATTATATTACAATACAGTGATAGACAATTATGATAATTATCCTGGGGAAGTGGGAGTATGACTCTGTTCTATTTTCTCTTCAGTCTCCTGAAGGAGTGGTGATAATTAGTCAAGCTTAAAAGGTAACACTGAGCTTCACTGTAAAGGCTATGGACTAGTACTCTTCATCTTGTGTATCTAGCTCTACAAAGGCCCTGGGACTGGAGGGTTGAGAGAATTCTTTTGTAGAAATGGCTAGGCTAAAAGTATGAGACAACTTTGATTCAGGCCTCAGGGAGAATTTTGACTGGTGTTCTCTAAAATTTTCCTTGACGTTGAAGAGTTTTTTTGAGTATGGACAGAGCTACATGAAGTTACTGCCACCCAGGAAACCAAGGCATTGTAACATATCAAAGTGTCAATTTGGGCCCACTTCTGTGATTTTAGAAAGTGTCCACTAGTCATATGTTTAAATAGCAAAAGAAAACTCAAAGACAAACAAATGCTATAAAAAATGTAGGACATATACTTTGTTAAGATTGTTAGTAAAATCACTGTGCTTAGGCTGGTGGAAGTGAAATAGTTAAAAATCAAAATGTAATCATACTCAGCAGTTTGTATTATTAACACTCAAATAATGCCTACCAGAAGCAAATAAAAAGCCACTCTGTAAATTTCAAATCTACAAACATTTAAGATATAATGTTAAGCACACTATCAAAAATAATCAGGCATAAAAACAAATAATCTGATTAAAAAATGGGAAGAAGACATGAACAGACATTTCTCCAAGGAAGACATTCAGATGGCCAACAGGCACATGAAAAGATGCTCAATAACTCTCATCATCAGGAAAATCCAAATCAAAACCATAGTGAGCTATAACCTCATACTTGTCAGAATGACTAAAATATAAAATTCAGGAAACAAGTGTTGAAGATGTGGAGAAAAAGGAACATTCTTACACTGTTGATAGGAATGCAACTGGTGCAGCCACTGTGGAAAATGGTATGGAGTTCCTCAAAAAATTAAAAATAGAACTACCCTAAGATCCAGGAATCACACTACTAGTTATTTACTTAAGAATATGAAAGCACTAATTCAAAGGGACACCTGCACTCCTATGTTTACTGGAGTTTTACTTACAGGAGCCAAGTTATGGAAGCAGCCTAAGTGGCCGACAATAGATGAATAGATAAAGAAGAGGAAATATATTTATATGGATCAAGAAGAGGATATATAGTGGAATATTATTTAGTCATAAAAAGAATGAAATCTTGACATTTGCAATGGCATGGATGGAGCTAAAGAGACAAACCAAAAAACAGACTCTTAACTATAGAGCACAAATGGTTACCAGAGAGAATGTGAGTTGCAAAAAGGTAATATAGGTGATTGGGATTAAAGAGTTTACTTTATCATGAGGAGCAGTGAATAATGCATAGAATTAATGAATCACAATACTGCACACCTGAAACTAATAAACACTACACGTTAATTTTACTGGAAGTAAAATTTAAAAAATAGTAACCAAATAATCAGACATATAAGAAAAATCAACATGAATGAGAAATAGGAGTAAAACAATACAAACTGACATACATGAGTATAAGACATTGGAATTACCAAACACAAATGCTTAAACAGCTATATTCAGCATATTCTAGGAGTTAAAAGATAAATTCGAGAATGTTGGAAGAAAGCTAGAAATTATAAATAGTGACAAAGTAGATCTGACAAAGAGCCAAGTTTCAGTTATAGAACTGATAAAACCCACAAAACAAAATTAAAAACTTAATGAAGGCTTTTAACACCAAATTAGCCACAGATGAGAAAAAAATTATGAAATGGAAGATATATGAGAAGTAAATATATAAAGAAAAAAGGATTAAGGATTAAGCAAACGAGACATACAAAATGTTATGAATGGGTCTATAATGTATATAACTGGTATCCCAGAAGGGAAGAAAGATAGGATAGAAGCAACATCTGAAGCAATTTGGCTGAGAATTTTCCAAAGCTGAAAAAAGGCACCAGATTTAAAACATATATTACCTTCAAACATCTGACCTTTCAAAAATAGTAATAAAAAATGGGAAGACATTAGAACAACATCTTTGAGTGATGGGAGAAAAAAACTACATATTTCCAATTTTATCATCAAAGAAAAGTTGAAATAAAAATAGTATTAGATACAGAACTAAACTCTAAAGGAAATAGTAGAGAGTATTCTTCAGGTTTAAGGAAAATGGTTGAAATGGAAGGTAGGAGAGACAGAAATAAATAAGAACTAATGCAAATCATAAATATGCGGGAAAATCTAGATGAATTGTATATAAATCTATGTAACTACTGTTTTCTAGGACTATATTTTTACTAAATCTGAGGTGCCTTGTGGATAGATCATTTATTTAACTAATACTGTGAAATAAATTCATCCAGGATGGAATTTAGTAGAAAACCCTGCAGAACAAAGGACAATTCTTGTGTAGGAGTAAATGAAAACTAAAAACTACAACCAGAAAAGAGGAACCATGAGACGTGCCTGTCTCAATCTTGCCCCCAAGTGGAGGATGGGAGAAAAAAATTACATACTCTGAGAAGCTGAACCACAAGCTGGTACTTACAGGTCTTCTATTTGAATCCATAATACCAGTGTATTTAAAAAACAAAACAAACAAACAAACAAACAAACAAAAACAGGCAGAGTGTTTTAGTAATCTCAGGTTTGTGGTGCCTTTCATTGTCTGGCAGAAGCAAACACTAATCCTTCTTGACAGGGCTTGACTTCAGTTCAGACCTGTAGTGATGATAAAAGACCAGCAGCTGTAAGACAGGTGCCAATGTAGAGATTTAAAATGTGGGAAAAGATGTGAAAGCATTAAAGTACACAAAAATAATAGCATGTAAATTGGGGAGGGAGGACAGAGAGTAAAGAAATATTCTAATATATTTTTAAATTGCCCAGGAAGAACATTATAAAACAATTAATATTAGACTTTGATGAGTGAAGAATATGTGTTATAATCTTTAGAGAAACTTCAAAAAATTAGTAAGAGTAAATTCTAAATTGATGTAAGAAAAAATGGAGTCACAAAATTATTAAACGTTTCAAAGAGAAGAAAGACAAGAAAAAGTACTTTGAATGGCCTGTGTACTGTATGGTATAAAAATTCTAAATCTATATGTGCCTAATAGTACACCATCAGCCAAACAAAATCATTACAGAATTGTAAGTAGAGTCACAGTGGGAGATTTTAATCTACTTTTCTCAACAGGGGAAGAAGAAGCAGATAAAAGTCAAAGGATTGCAATCACATGTACTATGTTCTCCGACCACAATGGAATTAACTAACACCTGAAGCAAAGGGATAATTATAAACACACAGATATTTATAAATTAAGAAGTGCATTTGGAAGTAACTCATAGGTCAGAGAACAACTCACAATGGAAATTAAAAAGTATGATAATAATAAAAAAACATTGAAATATAGCCTTAAATAAACATACTTTAGAAAAAGAAAGGGGAATTTCAGGAGTCAAACATCCATAAAAGAAATTAGAAAGAAAATAGCAAATAAAACAGAAATTGAATGGGAAAAAGTAATAAATATGAGAACAGAAATAAAAATATATATTTTTAAAGGACACAGAGGAAAGAGAGAAAGAATCAACCAAACCTAAAATTCTTTCTTTGAAGAGAGAAATTGAGTTGGAAAATAAACCTACTGAGAATAATGGGAAAACAAACAAACAAACAAAAAAACAGACATTTGCACATATATAAACATGCTAATAACAGAAATTTAGAAGGAGAATATAATTTCATATTTTTCAGGTATGAAAAAGAAAATAAATGACAATTACAATGAGGAGGACCTCAACATTTTGTGATGGTTAATTTTCTGTGTTAACTTGACTAGCCACACCCAGATTCCACATTATTTCTAATTATATCTTGAGGGTGTTTCTGGGTGAAATTAGCCTTTGAATCAGTGGACACAGGAAAGTAGACTGCCCACCCCGTGTGGGTGGGTATCATCCAATCCACTGAGGGCTTAAATAGAACAAAAAGTGCTCAGGAGGAAGACTTTGCCTTTTCCTGCCTCACTGTGTGAGCTGAGGCATGTCAGTGTAGTTCATCTTTTTTCTTTCTACCTGAGCCCTGAGTTTTACACCATTAGCTTCCCTGGTTCCCAGCCCTTCATACTTGAAGGGAATTTATAGCCCCAGGCTATCCTGGGTACCAGCTTGCAGATGGCAGGTTATGGGCCTTCTTAGCTTCCATAATCTTGTGAGCCAATTCCTCTTAAGAAATCTCCATGTATCAGTTATTTCTCATTGTGTGGATCAGTCAGGGGTCTTCAGAACCAATAGATCTCTATAGATCTTCTTCTCTAAGGAACCCTAGCTGATCCACACACAATAAGGGAGAATTTATAATGTAAATGAGAAATATGTTTAAAATAAATTTATAGAGTCTGAAACGTGGTTGCTTTCAAAATCAATAGTAACGTGTGTCACAAATTTAGTAGGTGTTGGATGCTATGCTAAGTGATTTGACTTTTATCTCCTTTACCTTAAAATCCTAATAGAAAGGTTTTATTTTTATTCTTATTTACAGATGAGGAAAGAGGGGCTCAGGTAGGTCAAGCACCTTATCCAATTTCACACAGAGGGGGCCAATCATTGTCTCAAGCTGAGAACTGACTCCAAAGCCCATGCCCTTCACCTCAATTTTACACTAACAGTGATGACTCCTAACTGAACTACTTCAGACAGGTGCCAGGTATCCCCCTTGTAAGAAAGCTGAGAAACATTTGTGCTGCACTAGACGACCACTCAACTCATTTTGACTGGAAGGTTCTCCTCTACCTTGTTTCCTTCCTTCCTTCCTTTCTTTCTTTCTTTCTTTCTTTCTTTCTTTCTTTCTTTCTTTCTTTCTTTCTTTTTCCTGATTGACTCTTTTTCTCTCTATCACCATTTCTCTTTCTTTCATTCTCATAAGTGGCCCACAAATCAGGTCCTTAACTGCTTTGCATGCTCTTATCCTTCTGAGAAAGGGTATGAAGTATTGTCCTTCCAGATACTTACAAGTTAGAAGAGAACACTGAGCCATCCTCCCAGAGCCATGGTCCTTCAGTCTGATGGCGAGAAAGTCCTATCCAGAATGAATTATCAGGTTGAGAAGACAAGTGCCTTACTATAAATTCCTGTAGGAAAACATAAATACAAACACATGTCAAAGAGTCATGGAGAGAGCGAGACAGACAGAGACGATAGAGATAAAAAGATGGAGAGAGACTCTCATAGACATTGAGAGAGACAACAGATTGAATCACCTTGGTGAAGAACGCAGGCATACACTGGCATCAACCGAAAGAGAAGTACCAACTACTGATTGTCATTGAGTGTCTCGAAAAGTACATTTCATTTCTTCAAAGTCATTATTGTTTAGTTTTCCAATAAAAAAGAGACCTATAATGTCAAAATTATAATGCCTCCATGCAACCTGCTTGACAAGACCCATGAATGACAGACCTCCGAGGCAATTTTCATGGAAAACAGGCCACTATCTTCTCCAATTGAATATATGAATTTGTAACACTTTTGTCAAGAAATGCTCTGCAGAGTTAGATAAAAATATAAAAACAACTCCGTTCCACTTCATGTTCTATGAATAAGTAATTTGAGGTTTAATGCTGACATTTGACAAACAACAGGAACATCGAAAAGCCAGACAGACTTCCAGTATCATTCCTTTTCTTTGCTACACTCTACTTCCGTTCATTTTCATGAGAACTACAACTGTTGGGTAACACAAGACAGAAACACAGAAGTTGAAAGGAAATGAAAGTAAATGTAGGAGTTACAGAGTGTTTAGATTTATAGTGTAGAGTGTTTTCTGACTATTAATACCTTCTCCTAGCCCAAATGAATTCTACCCTTCATTCAAGATGCATTATAACTCTCACTTTTTCTGTAAAACTTTATGTATCTGGACATCTCTCTCTGAATTCCTATGTCATTGATTGCCAAAAGCAGATATTTAGCTTTTAGCACCTGTTGAGTTGTTTCTTTCTTCTTAGAAACTATGTCAGCATTGAATTAGCAAGGTTACTTTTTAAACCTCTTTGCCCTTCCCAGTATCTTGCAAGGAGTAAATGATTTATAAATGTATATTATTATTGCTGCTTTTTTCCTTGATAATAATGATGACAAGGGGGAGAATTTTCTATTTTACTCAACCAGATTTGAGAATTGAAATCCAAACCCACAAAAATGAGTAGTGGCCTGATTGTCATAGTCATGCAAACTTGTAGTGTGTTTGGATAGATTTGTTTTAAAGTAAAACACATTGGGGCCCCTGGGTGGTGCAGTTGGTTAAGCATCTGACTCTTGGTTTTGGCTCAGGTCCATATCTCAGGGTCATGAGATCAAGACCTGCATCAGGCTCTGTGCTCAGTAGAGTCTTCTTGAGACACTCTCTTTCCCTCTGCCCACTCTCTGCCTCATGCACACACACTCTCTCTCTAAAATAAAACAAATAAAACCTTTAAAAAAAATAAAGTGAAAGTATTCATTTTTTGAATTAATTAAAAAACCATATATTTTACCCACTTAATACATGCTGTTTTAATTATGGAGGATATTAAGTGTGACTTTCTCTTAGGGAAAAATTTTTTAATATTTTATTTATTTATTTGAGAGAGACAGAGAGAGAGAGTGCTAGAGATAGAGAGCGTCAGTTGGGGGGGCATAGAGGGTGGGTAACTCCTCACTGAGCAGGGAGCCAGATGTGAGGCTCCATCCCAGGACCTTGGGATCATGACCTGAGCGGAAGGCAGACACTTAAGTGACTATGCCACCCACGTGCTTTCTCTTAGGGAAAATTATCTTTACCTGGAATTATGTATTTTTCTGCTCAATATTGACCACAGATAATTATAACTGAAGTCCATACTTACCAGTTCTTCTGCACTGTCTATCTTCAGGAGGTTAGAGTACAGTTGAGAACACTGACTTTTACTTCTATTCCAGGAAGTTAATGATGTGCTAAATAGATAACAGTTGTTCTTGTGTATGATCCAATAAGGAGGACAAGAGCTGGAAAAATCTCCTGGAAATAAAATGTAAATACAATGAGGTTCATAACAGTTCATAATAATAGGGATGTGATTTTTATAGAAGACACCACATTGAAATCCCCTCATTCATTTAAAATTTAAAAATGAATTAACCATAAACAGTTTTAGAGAGTCAACCATCCTTTCCTTCTTGGCCTTTCCTCCATTCTTTCACCTTCAGTCCAGAACTCCCTTTCTTCATGATAACTTTTAAAATAAATCAATTCAAAATCAATCTTCAAGATATACAGTCATTTCATGTTAACTTATTTTAGAGTTGTGAGATCCATTTAAGAATGCAATTTTCCAAATGAAAAACATATAAGAGCAATTGTTCACATTATAGAGTATATCTACTTTCTATTTTTAGCTACTTGATATAAATAGTGAGAAAGTATGGGTCCAGAGATGGAAAATTGAAATAAAAATATTGGCATACTCAATTTTGATACAATGAGAAAAAAGAGGTCGTGTATATGAAGTTGCAATAAAATTAATGAAATTGTATGATTAAAGAAAAACAAATATAACTAGAGTTTTCAGGATTATATCTATTAGGTCTATATCTTTTGTGTATGTTTAATTCACATACAATTCTTATTTCTTAGCACATTTTCCCTTCTTTCCTTTTCTCTCCCTTTCTTCCTTTCTGACATCCAATTTCCTATTCTCTCTCTGTTACTTTAAAATGTCAATTCTCAAGGGGGGAGAACATATTTCTTTCTTTGCATCAAATTATAGAGCCTCCCACGGGTCTAAATATGTAGAGAGTGATATATTTGTTGCTGATTTGAAAAAAAAAAAAAAAACAACTTAGAAATGGTTGGCCAAATGCATGGGATATTTATATGACTTTATTGCATATATGACAGGGTCATACTATATACTGAGGTAATACTGATGTGTGCTTTTGTGAATACTCAATCCTTGCCTATAAAAGTATTGTCTTTACCCACCCTACTCCAGGTCTTAGCCCCAGTTATTAACCTTCCTGGATTAAGGATTCCATTCATCTTTTAACCCTGTCCTTGCCTGTGGTTCTGAGAGACTTGGTAGGAGTCACGTGGTCTTCTAAAGATGATTGTGTGGGTAGACTGTGGTTCTCTTTTCTTGATGGAAAGGTGTCGTTCTTCAATGGGTTGCTCCCTGAATTGGATTTCCAAATAGCTTCATATACCAACAACAATTATAGTGACAGGAAAAAAAAAGTCATTCTACTATATTTGAAATTATAATTCCAAGTCTATTTTTTTTTGGAATACAAAGGGGTATATTTTTACTAACAATAAATAGATAGCACATTGCTGATTGAGAGGTAAAATTAGATGGTAGATAGAGAGATAGATAGGTGATATGTTATGGAATAGATGATAGATAAGTAGATGGAAAAAAAAAATTACTTCCATGAAGGTGTAGTAAAAATTGGGAGAAAAACAAAGCAGATAAAGAAAGAATATGAAAAAGAAAGCAAGAGGCACATGAAATACCATCAACTGGACCCATGATAGATTTGAAATAGTAATAAATCTTCTACTTTTCTTCTGTTATTTAAAAATGAGAGCTCCTTGAGGAGACTCCAAAGGCGCAATAATATCTTATTGACAATAGAACATGTGAGATACAAAATCTAAAGGAATTCATTCACCCATCACAAAATATCTATTTAGTAAGTTCCTCAGGTAATCCCTGGTATTATTCAGAAGAGTTTAGATTAAAGATTAGGTATAAAATAATTTCCTTGGATCATAAAATTCGTAAAAATAGTTTGTAGTCTTATTAGGGATTTTATTTCATTAAGAAGATAAGCACCTTATTGTACTTCCTTCTTCACTTCCCCTGGTTTACTACTGTTAACGTATCTTGGGAATTTCACACCTTTAAAACAAGCTATTCAAGGAAGACAATAGAGCAATATAGTTAAGAGTATGCATTTTTTTAGGGGTGCCTGAGTGCTTCAGTTGGTTAAGCCTCCGACTCTTAATTTCAGCTCAGATCATGATCTCAGGGTCATCAGATGGAACCCTGTGTCAGGCTCTGTAATGAGTATGGAGCCTGCTCCAGAATCTTTTTCCCTCCTTCCCTCCCCCACTCATACTGGGATCTCTCTACTGGGAGAAGGAAGGGGAAGAGGAGGAGGAGGAGAAAGAGGAGGAGAGGGAGGAGAGGGAGGAGGAGGGGGAGGAGGGGGAGGAAGAGAAAGGGGGAAAGAAAAAAGAATATGCCTTTTTTCAGTCTAATCATGGTCTTACCACTAACTAGTTTATGGCCCTAAAAAATAAAATGCAACTGCCCCCACCTCTCACTTCTCTTATAAGTAAAATGAGAATGTGTAACACTGATTCAATTGGGGTAATATACAGATTCTGCATGTCAAGCTCTTAAGAGTGTCTGGCACATAATAAATGCTTATCGAATGTCTGTTATAGTTGTTGTTGTTGTTTTGTTGTTGTTGTTGTTGTTGATCTCCCTCACCAATACTCACCCATGGTACCCAAGATCACAGCTATGACCAGTTTTAGCAAGCATAGGATTCCCAAAGTCAGAGCAATGGAACGCCAATGAGGAGATGTAGCACAAGTTACTAAGAAGAGAGAGGGAAGAGAAATTAAAATGAAGAAATATGATAAATCACAGAGAACTTCAGTTCTACAATGCACCAAAATCTGGAAAATTCTAAAGTGAATTACTAAGCACTGACATACAGATAATCTAGTCATCTAGGATTATCTGAATTTTCCCTCACATTTGGCATACCTCCTTAAGCTCTGGAACTGCAATTTCAGCACAGTGCCCTGATATCAGCACACTCCTAATTTCAGGTTCACACTGATGGTCCTGACATTACCAGAGTTTCTGAAATCCCACTCATTTTTATAGAAGACAGCTGACTGTCTTCTATAAAATTAGAAGATAGCCCTGGTTACTGAGGACAACCTTCTCTTTTCCCTTATTCGTTGCACAGCCTTGGGAAAATTACTCCCTCTGTTTATGCATTTCTCTTTGTGAAAAACTGAGGTAGTAATACTCCAGAGTTTCGTTGTGGGAACCAAATGAGCTAACACATAAAAGCACCTAGTCTAGAGGCTACTAGCACATTATACATAACTTACTGTTTGTCAACAAATACATAGAAACATACATCTGCCTCCCTACCTCTTGCATCATCCAGTTTTTCTAGTCCTCCTCAACTGGTTGAGCAAGAAAAGAATTGCGTACGTGGTAAAGGGAAAATAATTGTGCAATGTGGATTACCACAAAGCAGAAGAGAGCAAATTCTCATGTCAAGACTTAGGAATAATCTTTCTCCTGATAACAGGGAACTCATTTTATGTTAATACCATTGCACCAAGGATATAGTTCTCCCTTTGAGAATAAGCATTACAAGCATTTCAGAGAATTGTCAAATAAGAGAGCCATAGAGGAAACCACATGACTCGTTCTATTAAGGGAAAGAGCTTGTAATGCCTTTCTCCGTATTTTATTCCTTTTCTATTATGTTTAAGACTCATGTTCTGCAAATGGAATCTTTTCATCCAGCACATATATTTTCCTTCACTAGTATACAAAAGACTCCAATTTGATTAAGAAAAACATCTAAATCAGTGTCTTACCTCAAAAAACACATTTTGTGATTCCAAACCCTATGACTTCTGAAGTCCCTTTGGCCTTTACCACAAAATCACAAATCTGTTTCTTTCCTCACCTATCTCCTCTCTTTTCATTCTTCTCTTTCTTATCTCCAATATCCTGGTGTTGTTCACATATATTTCTTTAAGTTTCCATGACTTCCATTCTATGAGTTATTCCTTGTTACCAAACAAACAACAAGTCACTCCTATTGAAATTCTTACATCTTTGCATTTCCTCACACTTATTTACTGTTCCTTACTGCTGAAGGGTCTATTTCTACAGAACAGAGAAATTTTATTTTCTTTTTTTTTTCCTTAGATTTTATTTATTCATGAGAGAGAGAGAGAGAGAGAGAAGCAGAGCGAGAAGCAGGCTCCCTGCAGGACTTAATCCCAGGACCCTGGGATCATGACCTGAGCCAAAGGCAGAAACTTAACTGACTGAGCCACCCAGACACCCAAGAAATTGTATTTTCTGCTATGATAATAATTAATTTAAATACTGATAGTCACCAAATGCTTGCAATGAGGAAAGATATTTCAAAATATCTTCAGTGAATTCTGAAAATTTTTTCAAAGGTTTTCAGCCTACATATCATAAATCTCTCAAATTTTCTCCACATAAGTGTTTTTGTTGATGAGAACAAGAACATTGAAGGTAGAAAGAAAAGATACCTTTCTCTAACACCACACGTCTCCCAGTGATGCCTTGAGAGTGGAAGTCTAATTGAGTATAACCATCTTCATCCAAATTTTCTAACTCAGCACGGGACTCCATTGTTCTACTGAGTTCCTGAATTGACACTGCATTTGAGAGTTCTCCTTTTCTTTTCTAAAGACTACTGTCTGTGGACAAAAGAGGATGTATGGGTCAAATCATGTGGGGTAGGCATTTACTGAGTTTTAACAAGTTGAGCTCAAGTAAGTAGTCCAACCAGATATAGCCAAAGGCAGGAAATGAAAACTATGCTGTGATAAGTTCCCATTTGTAACTTTAGATCTTGTTTCTAAGACTGATGAGTCTTAAGAAAAGTATAAGGCAGCACAATAGACAAATCTTTGTTTCAGACCAAATATAAGAAAAATAAAATGTGAATTCATACATGCATTCATTTATTCATGTACTTGTTCATCCACTAAACATTTATCAAATGCCCATCTTTTCAAATGGCAGAGCTGAGGAGCTGAGGATATAGGGATAAAAGATATCTGTGAAGAAGCTCATTGTGTAATAGAGGAAACCTACAGACAAATATGTAAAGAATGCGATAAGGAGGCATTGTAACAACAGAGAGGAGAAACAAATTTCTTTAGAATTTGTCAGGGATTGATAATTCAAAGTAGTAATTATTTATTGAAAATTACTCTGAGCTAGGTACACCCATTGTTCATATTTTCTCACTCAATCTCAATTTTCCAATAAGTCCATACGGTATATATTTATTTTATTTTTTAAAGAGTTTATTTATTTATAGCTTGAGAGAGAGAGAGAGATCACAGAGGGAGAGGGAGAAGCAGACTTGTCACTGAGCCTGATGCCAGGACCCCAAGTTCATGACCTGAGCCAATGGCAGAAGCTTAACTCACTGAGTCACCCAGGTGCCCCTTTATTTAATTTTCAAATGAAGACAAGGAGATATAGAAATTTTAGTCCCTTACCCAGTTTTAAGAAGCTAATAAAAATATTGAAGCAAAAAATCAAACCAAAGTGCACTTTTGTTGCAAAATGCATGATCTTTTCATACACTTATAAGTACATAGTCTCCCCCCTTTAAGTGTGGTTTTTGCTTTGCATGGTTTCAGTTACCCCCAGCCAACTACAGTCACGAAGAAGATCATCCTCCTGATGTATCATCAGAAAGTCAGTAGCAGCCTAAACCTACCTCACAAGGCCTATCACATAGGTACTTATGTACAAGAAGAAGAAAAAAAACAGTATATATGTAAGATTCAGTACTATTCTTGGGGCAGGCCTCCACAGGGGATCTTGGAACAAATCCCTTAGAGATTAGAAAAAATGAGTGTGACAACTTATGGAGAATTCTGGGACTAAAATATTATGCAAAATACCCCAATTAATGACATATGGAAAACACTTATCTTTACTGGAAACCAGAAAGTTACTCAATCAACTTACAAGACTATGAAGCAAGCAGAATGAAGGAGACATCTGAAACAAACCCAGACACTCATTAAGGCAGGGAGGACAGATTTCATTCAGTTATACAATTACAATGGAGAAGAGGGACCAGCATGAAGGAACTCAACCTCTCCAAAACAAAGTATTAAAGACTTTCTTTTTAAAGGCATGCAAAAGGAGAGACACTGAGTGGTATTAAGGGGTCTTAATTCATGTGAAGATTTGTTAGTTGGTACCTATTTAGGAGAGAAATAAACTTCTCTGGTCTTTATGATGGTGGCAGCCATACATGTCAAAGCAAGATGGTGCCCCTGGTGAAATTAGATCTTTATGCTCCCATAGGGACAGGGAGAGTGAGATTCCTCTCTCTTAACTCCCTGGATGTTTGCATTTCAGAGAGATGGCTCTCAGCTCCTTGAAGAAATAGCTTCAATTACTTTTCAAAGGTCAGAGAAAGGAATTATAGTTGCAAGATTTCTAAGGTAACTGCTCTAAGAGGGAATTAGAGCCCTGTCCTTCACCAAGTTTTGACTGGAACAAGCAGTACATTTTCCTGGAAACACTGAGCTTTCTCAGGCAAGCATTTCAGGGGATGGGGGTGGGGGGGTGGGGTTTCAATATCATCTGAGGGACATTAAGGAGCCAGATGATGTCAAGTCTGTTAGTGCAGAAGTTTGGATGGAGATACAACCAAGAGCTCTGAGGTTCTTACTAACACATATCAAAATGGAAGAGTTCAATGGAGAGTAAATAAGTGAGTTTCCCCCCCTCACTTAACTTGCCATGAAAGTTTTGCTAACTTTTTGTAGATACCTTGCAAAGTAGTCATGTGGATCTTAATCTCAATGTCCATCAGCCTCCCTGTTCTATAATGCAGTCTTTGCAAAACAGGGGATTTTTCACAGATTGCTTATCTGGTTCAAGGAAAAAAGGTCAGCCAGCTAACAGAACAGAAATGAGGCAAGCACCTTCCAGGCAATAATAAGAAGCTGGCTTCCTACTATCAATCCAGGCCCCTCCATTGGGTGAATTTTGTATAATAACTTTAATTTTCTAGGAATCTCTTCCTCTAATCACAATCCTACAATAAGGAGAACGGGCAGTGTACATAAATAGATAAACAGAGTTGTAAAACTTAACAATAATTGCAAAAATGATTCAAAACCTAGGGTAGCAAAAGGTATTTTCAGGGAATATTTGATCATTGGCATTGTTAAATAATGTTGATGATAAAAAAACAGACTGACTTTTTAAAAAAATTTTATTTATTTATTCTTTTACTTTTCAGGGTCCCAGAATTCATTGTTTATGCACCACACCCATTGCTCCATGTAATACGTGCCCTCCTTAATACCCACCACCAGGCTCACCCAATCTCCCACCCCTCCCCCTCCAAAACCCTCAATTTGTTTCTCAGAGTCCACAGTCTCTCATGGTTTGTCTTCCCCTTTAATTCCCCCAACTCACTTCTCCTCTCCAGCCTTACTGGTCTTCTTTTTTTATCACACAAATACACCGATTTGCTCCTGTCTGAGAGACTTGGCCCTTCCACTTTGGATATGTGCTTTGCCTCCAGAACTTTGCATGTGAGATTCTTCTGCACAATCAGTTCTCAGTTCAAACATCATTTTCTCTGGGCAGCCTTCCCTGATTCCTCAGTCCGAAGCAGAATACAACCAGGGAGCCCTCCCATCAATCTGAGTCAAATTGTTCTTTACTTTTTTCTTCAAAGCACTTCATGCTATTTGAAAATCATTCATCTGTTTATAATTATTCTCCCCATATTCACAGGTCTGTAAGCTCCATGAGTAAAGAATTTTGTTTGTCTTGTTCACAGAAATATCCCAAGAACCTACACTAGCTTCTGATTCATGGTGCATTAGCAATAAATACCTGTTAGGTCAATGTATAAATTTATTAAAAACCTTTGAAAGTAATAATATATGTGCAAAATATGTACATTTCCCTTCATATATTGTAGCCTAAAATTATCCAATTCTATTGTCTGATCCAGTTTATAAACTCCAAAAAGACAGGAATTCTGTCTATATGGGTATTCTGGGTCCAATGTCTACTACAGTGCTCCAGAGTTGTGTCTAATTGGAGGTTGGGGATAGAAAACAAGCAATTATAAGAACGAAACTACTGGCAATTCTAATTTCTAGTTCTGAATCACAGCCAAGTTGTCTTTAAATTTCCTTTGGAGAGCAGAGGAAAACAAAAGGCAGTGGGTGTCATTTTCAAGTGGGAAGTTTTTCTTCTGTGTTTATTCATTTGTGATGACTATGGCATTGTCCCTCTCTCTTCCACGCATGGTGGCTCTTATTTCTCCATTGTGTTTACTTTTACATTGCTACACTATAATGTACATTTGCTACATGTAATTACATTGGTATATTGGGCATTCATGTTTTAGTCAAACATGTCTGCATTGACTATATTTTCATTTTCTCCTGTACCCTTGAACTCATCATCTTTAATAGGGAGAAAGATACAGCAAAATGTGATACAGGAGAGGGTAAACGGGGAAATTTCTAGATTGCCCCAGTATTGATACAACCAGAGTATCTCTGATTTTGCTTGTGGTTGTTGTTTAACTAGTTCGAGTCCCATGACAAACAATGGGACTTGAACTCAGGACCCTAAGATCAAGAGTTACATGTTCTACTGCCTGAGCCAGCCAGGTGCCCTTGATTTTGATTGTATTATATGTAGGAACTTCATACATAATTTCATTTAGAAGAAAAGCAATTGAACCCACAAAATACTTAGAAGCTCTTCACCTGGTATATCCTATTTATCTATTTATTTATTTATTATTTATTTATTTATTTTGGAGAGAGGAAACAACCCAAGGTAGGGGACTAGAATTGCATAGGAGGAAAAAATCCTTCTCAGAAATTCCTATTGGCAGAAACTTCTTATTGGCCTGGCCACTCCTGATTCTGTCACTGATTGAATTTAGTATTTTGTTTAACTATTTTTTTTTAATCTGCCTTTTTCACCAATAAAATGGGTATGATGGGTCTTCAGGGCGGCCCTGCAGACGTGGGGCACCCGAAGCAAGTTCGCTGGGCATCTTCCGGCCAATTCTTGCGAACGTTCTGCCCAAACCATGTTGTGGCCGGCGTCTGCCTCCGACTTTTCGTGCAGATGGGGCACGGATAGTTGGGGCTTGCCTCAGTGGGTCATGAAGGTTTCTCTCGTTCCAAGGTTTTTTCTCAGCTCTGAAAGGCACCGTTTCCGCTTGCGTGGCCTGTGGACTCGTGGGGTTGGCCTAGAAGTCCCAATCTGGAAGGACAATGTCAGTGTGGCTTCAAACATTTGGAGGGTTTTCCCCGCTGCATTAGTAGTCTGTGGATGGCTCGGCAGTGCCGATTCATGCCACTGGAGGGCTGGTGAGCTGTGGTGCCCTAGAGCATGGTAGGGTGCAATGCTGCTTGCCACCACTGGGGCAGCGGTGAGCTGCTGTGGCAAACACACCAGATGAGGAGCCTGTGCAGCCTGCTGGCTCTGAGAGCAGTCTTGATGAGCTGGGTGAGAGACTCGGAAACAGGCACTGCAGCTTGTTTTTCCATGACAGAGTGTTGAGCTGAAGACTCTGTTTTCCCAGGCTCAAGAGTGGTGGTAAGAATTGCTGGAGCCAGGCCCCCACTCAGTCAGCACTGTGCCCTATTGCCCCAGGTTGGATG